AGGAACTGTGATAATTGGAAATTGCATTATGTAGATGTCAATTCCAAAAGTGCTAAGCATAATGCAAAGTATTCATTTAGGATAGCATTTGGAGGCAGGCATTTTGTGATTGGTTATGGGTTGGCTTATGTTTTGTTGAGGATCACGGATTCTTGTTTGTGGAGGTATCCACATGTTTGTGGGAGCAATGTCAGGGTTTATGCTTGCTTCTCAGAGCCTGGAGTTAGGTTGACACCACATGCTGGACTCTGTTAGGTTAATTTTTATTTTTTTTCCCTCTTTTTATTTGGAAATGTATATATTTTTAAATTGTCCCTCATTCAGCATTGAGTTAATTCTATTTTATATTAAAAATTATAAATATTTCATACAAGTTTTATTTTATCTTCTTAATTCTAATTTTATAAAGTTTTATGCTTTCAAAATCATCTATGGTATTTAATTTTTATAAAACTTTTTAACGGATTTAAATTGTACTTATGCATGAATCTTCTCTTTTTAAGTTCTTAAAATTGTTATAAAAAATTAATGTCCCATATTATCCATATAAATTATATTTTCATCTTATATTATTTAATTGCTATATAAATAAGCAAGGAAAAAGTTTATATAGAGCTGAGACTCTAAACAATCAAATTAGAGCCCACCTCAAAAAGTTTACTAGAAGAGGTTGTTTTGATGCCCAAGTATCATCAAATTGATCATCTTGACATCAAGATGTATGGACATGAGACAAAAGGAATTTCAAGTTTTGGAAATAGTGTGTTTTGCAATGCATTTTTGGACTGTTAATTTTCAAGATTTTCAAGTTTTCATAGGTTTGCTCAATTTACACTATTTTTTAAACATTAATGTTATAATTAAAAATAAAAATATATTTTAAGTCTATCACAAATATTTCTAGTATTGAGACCACATTTCTCGACATTATTTGAAGGTGAGCTTTACTTTGATTATTCGGAGCCTCAACTCTATACAAACCGCACCTGAGTAATATGACAACTAAATCTCTTTTATAACTTTACGCCAAATTTTTCAAAACGTCTCAAATAAAATATACAATCTTATTAAAAAAGAGAGTAAATGATTGTTGAATATTTTATATTACAGTGTTTTGACTTTTAAATATTTATTGATTTTAAATTATAGTTTTATCTTACCGTTACTTAATGGAAAAAAAATTATATAGAGTTGAGGCTCTAAACAATCACATTAGATCATCTTGAAAATTTCACAGGAAGAAGTTGTTTTGCTACTCAAATATCCTCAAATTGATCATTTCCACATTAAGATGCATGGACATAAGAAAATCATAGATTTCAAGTTTTGAAAATAGTGCATTTTATAATGTACTTTTGATCGTCAATTTTCAATATTTTCAAGTTTTCATAGATATGCTCAATTTACACTATTTTTAAAATATTAAATTTTGTAATTAAAGATGGAAATATTTTTTAAAGCTATCACAAAGAATTCCAATATTGAAACCACATTTCTCGATACTATTTGAAGGTATCGATGCATCTTGATGTCGAGATGATCAATTTGATGATATTTGAGCATCATCTTCTAGTGAAAGTTTTGAGGTAGGCTCTAATTTGATTGTTTAGAACCTAAGCTCTATATAAACTTTTTTCATACAAAAAAATAATATTTTTTTTCACAAAATTTTTAATATTTAGAAATAATTTTAAATGCTTTAAAAAATTATGCTGTCTTTATTCAAAAAATAGGAAATATAAAACAATAGATTCTTCCAATTTATGAATACTTAAATACGTGTGTATTTTATTTTTTCATGCATCCAAAAAGCATTATAATGATTTTAAAAGTTTTAATACATTATTTTTTCAAGGTCATTAATATTTAAAATAAACTATATTGTATTAACTACAAAAATGAATACAAATTTTAACCTATTTTAAATTATGAATTTTGAATGGCCTTCGATTACTTTTATGCTAATTTCCTAAATTTAACTTTGGAAATACAAAAATTAGAAATCTTTCTTTTTTGTAAAGAACTCCAATTTAATGATAGCCCCTCCCAATTTTTTTTCTTTTAGGCAGCATTAAACTTTTGTTAAAAATGTCATTGTACCCCCTTATCCCCTCCTATTTTCTCACATTTTTATTTCAAATTTAATATTAAGTTGTTTTAATACCAAATAAGATCTTTCTCTTCTCTTATCTCTTTTACCCCTCTCGAGCATCTTCTCTCTCATCTGTCTAGCAAGGCACCATCGCCTATCTCTCTTGTGGATATTCTCTCTCCTATGTTGGTTTTATTGCTAGTTTTCCTAATGAACAATCTGGGTCACCAATCTGATTTTCTTTATCATTATAATAATTATTATCAGAAAAATGATCCTATAGGACCCTCCCCCACTCATGTGTAGAACCCTAAAAGATCACTATTAAATTTGACACGGATCTATATAAAAGTCAAGTCGCACACTCATGTGATAATTTTTTCTAGAGATCGGTGCCAATTTTAATGGTAATCCTTTGGATCATACAAACATGGGTGGGAGAAGGTCCTATACGATCATTACTCTTATTATCATCATCATTATCATTATTATTATTACTACTAACTACAATTACTAGAACTGTTTTTTTTCTTATATTTCTCCTCAATAAAAAAAGTTTTAAGATTAAAATGTTCATTTTTGTCTCTCTTCCCTTATAGTAACACTCTCTTTCTCTTTTTACCAGTTGTCTCACTTTCTCTCTCTACCTCTCTCTGTCTACCCGCCCCCTCTCTTTCTCTCTTACCTACCATCTTTCTTTCTCTCTCTACCCACCCTCTCTCTTTCTCCTTCTATCCACCATTGCTCTCTTTTTCTGTTGGGTGGCCGAGCACGCCTTGAAGAGGGCTGAGAATGTGAAAAGCCCGCACCAAGTGCTGCTCCACCGTTGCACCCATCTAGCACCTGCACCAACTGCTGCTCCGCCATTGTTCCTGCGTATGCCCCATTGGTGTAGGTGATGGTGGAAGACAGAGCATATATAGGAGAATGGGGCATCCGTTATTAGGGTAGGACGGTGAAATTGAAAGTTGTCGTTTGAGCGGGGGGCATCGCAGGAGGAATTCAAGACAAAATTAGCAGGCAAGATTTGCTCTTCTTCGTTCATGCAGAAATGCTAAAATTGTTGTCTTCGTGGGAAAAATAGAGAGAGAATGTGTGTATGTGTGAGAAGGAGTTTCATTCCATAGATCTTCATTTCCCATTGAGAGAGACGATGGGTTTGTTTCATTCTGCTGAGACAATGGATTTCTTTTCTAGTGAGGGCGGGTGGAGAGAGAGAAATAGTGGGTAGAGAGAGGGAGAGAGAGAGAGAGGGCGTGTAAAGAGGTGGAGAGGAAGTGAGAGAGATGGTGGGTAGAGAGAGAAAGAAAGTGTTGTCGTAGGGGAAGAGAGGGGAAAATGAGTTTTAGTTTTAAACTTTTTGCCTGGGGTAAATACAATAATAAAAGTATGGGGTAGGATGTCAACAAATATCTATAATGTTCCTTAAAATGGAAATAAGAATACTCAAATTTTTGAACATTACTGCACAATGGCATAAAATATGGAGCTTATTTTTAGGAAAATTATAAATACCTCTCTTCCCCCCACCCCCCCAATTTAAACTTTCTACACATTTTACTCTCAATACTTTTTATATTATACCCTAAACCTCAACACTATTTTTTTTATTATATTTATCCCCTTCCAATCAAATAATCAGTGACCTCCGAGGCAAAAATGCCTTTTTTTTCTCTCTCTACTCCTTTTTATTCATTCACGTGCTCATATTTATCTCTCTCTCTCTACCCACTCTCTCATTCTCTCTACCCGTCCCCTCTTTCTCATTCTCTCTCTTCCTGCCCTCTCTCTCATTCTCTGTATGTTTCTTTTTCTCTCTACTGCCCTCTCTCTCTCTTCACGCCCCTCTCTCATTATTTCTCTATTTTTCTCCCTCTCATAAAATAAGGGGCTTCCGGCACACTTGGTGCCTGACAGGAATTTTGTTTTGCGGTTCGACACAAAAAAATGCTAGACCGCAAAAGAATTCTGGCCCAATACCAAGTGTGCCAAACCACAAAACAACAAATTCCGATTCAGCACCAAATGTGCCAGACCACAAAAAAACAAATTCCAGTTCGGCACTAAATGTGGGAGACCACATTTTCGAGCCCCTTATTCTATGAGAGAGAGGGAGAAACATAGAGAGAGATAGAAAGAGAGAGAATGGGAGAGAGGGAGAAATATAGAGAGAATGAGAAATAGGGTGGGTAGAGAGAGAATGGGGAGAGAATGAAAGATAGGGTGGGTAGAGAGAAAGGGAGTGAGAAGGCGGGTAGAGGAGAGGAGAGAGAGAAAAATAAGGGCATGTGATTGGATGTTTGAAAAGGGGAAAAGAGAGATAAAAAAGGCATTTTTGTCCCAAAGATCATTGACTATTTGACTGGAGGATAAATATAAGAAAAAATATTGTTGAGGTTTAGAGTATAATTTTCTTATTGTTTTTTAATCCAAAAAATATTTTGCATTTGTACATAAATTTCCCAATTTTTAACAATATAGTTATTGAACACTAGCAAGAAGTTTGGTCCGCTCCAAGACCTGTACTGACCCGACTTATTTGAAAGAGTTATGCGAAATGCTGTAATTCAGTAACAAAGTTACTCAAAAGAAAAAACCTCCATTTCCCTGGCTCCTAATAAAAAATAATGTAAGAGGACCACATGGTCAAGAATGAGCAGTATCTAAAACTCGACTTCAACAATAAAGGAAATATTCTAAGCCTCCTCACCCAAGGAATAAAATAAAGATTGAACCCCTTAGAAAGGAAAGAAGTGGATTCACCTTCCCTTTATTCATCTCTCTTCTCTTTCTATGGACTATGTAAAGAGCATGTGTGCATGCAGGCATGCTATGCCTCTCCACTATGAGTTTGCATGCACAGTGTCTTGCTATTGTACATGTTACTGTGTGTTTTTGGCCAAGAAAGATGGCTGAGTGGCTGGAAATGGTGAAGGGGGAGCGCCATCTCTTCCCTTTTTCCGATGATCCCTCGGTGATGAAACAAATACTGTCAACCCATGCACCTGATGGACAAGAGATCGACGTTAAAACCCTCGTGCTCCTGATCGACGACATCCTGAAACAAGCTACCGTTGCGACAGTCGGGGTTGGTTCCGTTATTATTTCTCAGATCAGCTCTCCCTTGTCTCCATAACCTCAATTATCATCATCAATAACAATAACTTTTCAACCCAACATAAGATTGGATGTGTGTGTTGGGTGATAATCTGCATGAGCTTGCACTATATTGTTATCATAGTGGGCCACTGCACCCAAGCAATTCCATAGTTTTATTGATTTTTGAGTGATTTACAAATGGACCCTAAAATTTTTTCAAGATATGAAATATTTTATTTATAAGCAGAAATTACAAAGAAAGCCGGTCAACCTGTTTTTTTATTTGTTTATTATTATTATTATTATTATTAATGTGCCTTTTTTTTCTTTATATATATATATATATATACTTTATGAATGTGTATTTATAGCTTCCTATGTGAATGTATACTCACTATACGAATGTCGTGTTTGTAGCTTTCTCTCATAAATGTAGAGGCAGTGGAGGTTAAGGCTCACAACTCAGGAATGATGGGAGTGCAAGAAGCCTTAGCACACACCATCCACAAGATTGCATGCCAGGTACTCTCATATCTCTCAAAATCCCATGGGATGCTTAACTATGAATAGAAGTTAAAAGTAGAGGGCTCTAGCGCATTCTAGAACCCTAGATGAACATATGTCCATACCCGATAACATATTTTGCGTAGATTTCAGCAATGGGCCTCATAAATGTAGATTTTGGTCAAATTTGGGTCATATGTCCATACCTGAGATCATATTTTGGGTCGATTTCAGTATTGGGCCTCATAAAAATGTAGATTTTGGTCAAAATTGGGCATAAACCGCTGATAACAATAGTAATAATAATAACAACAATAATAATAATTNTTATATATATATAATAATAATATATATATATATATATATATATATATATATATATATATATATATATTATATTTAT